GGGTAGGGGAGTATATACATGTAGGTGGGGAGGGCTATGTGGGAACTCTGTATTTTCTACTCAATTCTGCTATAAACCTGAAACTGCTCTAAAAAATAAAGTCTATTAAAAAATTCTAACTTCTCATTCTGTTCATCTATTTTTATCCTAAATTCTTTGATCACTTTTATGATCATTACCCTGAACTCTTTATTGGGTAGATTGCCTATGTCCACTTCACTTAGTTCTTCTGAGGTTTTATGTTGTTCCTTCATTTGGAACATGTTCCTCTGTCACCACATTTTGCCTACTTTGCTATTTTTATTCCTATATATCTGGTAGGTTGGTTATGTTTCCCGACCTTAGAGAAGTGGCCTTTTGTAGGAGATGTCCTATGCATCCCAGCAGTGCATTTCCCTCTGGTCATCAGAACTATATGCTCTAGGGGGTGCCCTCTGTATGGGCTGCGTGGGCTCTTCTGTTGTGATGGGCTGACTACTGTGGGCAATCTGGTAGGCATGGCTGGCTCCTGGTCTGTCTGAGTGTCAGGCCCTGTATTTTGTGAAGGCTACTGTCTGGTTGGCAAGGGCAGGTCACGAGATCCTGGCTGAGGGACCCTGAGGGGTCCCAGACTAGTCCTGGCTCAATGATGAGCAGAGCCAGTTTCTAGGGTATGTGGTTGCAGCACTGGGTTTTCTGGATCTAGTGTCAGCCTGCTGGTTGGTGGGGCTGGTTCCTGACATGGCTGTCTGCAGGTTCCTGGGTGTCGCAATGCTGGTGCTGGCCCACTGGTGAGTAGGGCTGGATCCTGGAATGGCTGGCTAAGGAATCCAAGGCATCTCACAGTTGGTGTTGTAGCTGATAGGTGTGGCTAGGGCCCAGGGCTAGTGCCAAATCACTGCTGTGCGGAGCAGGGTCCTGGTGTCTCTGGCTTAGGGTCTTATGGGTCCTGAAACTGGTATCAGCCCACTGGTGTGTGCAGCTGGATCCTGGGGCCACTGGCTGAAGAGCCTAAGGTCCCAGAGCTGGAGTTGGCCAGCTGGTGGGCAAGGCCAGGGTCCCAGACGTTATCAGGGCTGCTCTCTGCCTGCTGGTCTTTTGGCTGGGTCCTGATATGGCAGGCTCTGGGGCTACGGTGGTCCTGGGACTAGTGTCTGACCACTAGTTGGATGGGTTAGGAGTCCAGGAGATCTTGCCACTGGTGCCCACCCACTCACAGGTGAAGCTGGGTTCTGGGGCCAGTGCCGGCCCACTGGTGGGCAGAGCCAGGTCCTGGGGCCTCTGGCTGCAGGGCCAGGGGTCCCAGAGCTGGTGTCACACCACTGGTGGATGGAGCCAGTTCTTGACATGGCTGCAGGGTCTGGGGTGTCCTGAAGCTTGTGTCAGCCTGATGATTGGGGCTGGATCCTGGAGCAGCTGGCTGAGGGCCTCAAGGTGTCTCAGAGCTGGTGTTGGCTTGCTGGTGGGTAAAGTCATGGCCCATTGGGTCCTGTGGCTAGTGCTAGCCTGCTGGTGGTTGGGCTGGGTCTTTCCATGACAGACTGTAGGGTTGCAGTGGTCCTGGGGCTGGTACCTGTCCATTGTGGGGCAGAGATGGGTCCTGGGGTTTCTGGCTGCAGGGCCCTGGGGGTTCCAGGTCTAGTGCATGCATACTGGTGTCTGGGGCTAGGTCCTGGGTCCTCTGTGGACAGGGCCATTTCCCAGGATGGCTGTGGGCTCAGGGGGTCTTAAGATAGCCTACCGGCTGATGGGTGGGGCTGTGTCCCTGTCTGGTTAGTTGCTTGGCCTGAAGCATCCCAGTATGAGTGCCTATAGGCTGGTGGGCACGGGCAGGGCTGGGTACCAAGGCTAACAAACTAGAGGGTGGATCCCAAAATGGCACTTGCCAGCACCAGTGTTTGTGTCCCCAGGGTGAGCTCCAATTGCCTCCTGCTTCTCTGGGAGACTCTCCAAGATCAGCAGGTGGGTCTGACCCAGGCTCCTTTCAAATCACTGCTTCAGCCCTGGGTCCTGGAATGTGTTAGATTTTGTGTGCTCCCTTTAAGAGTGCAGTCTCTATTTCCCACAGCCCTGTAAGCCCCACTGGCCTTCAAAGCCTCACATTCTGAGGGATCATCTTCCTGATGCTGGGCCCTCAGGTTGGGGAGCTTGATGTGGGGCTGAGACCCATCGCACCTTGGGGAGAATTTCTGCAGTTGTAATTATTCTTCTATGTGTGAGGTATGGGTCTTGACTACACTGTGACTCTGCCACTCCCACTCATCTCGTTGTGGTTCCTTCTTTATTTCTTTAGTTGTAAAAGATCTTTTCTGTTAGATTCTGATCTTTCTCATGAATAGTTGCTCTGTAAATAGTTGTTATATTGGTGTGTCTGTGAGAGGTGAGTTCAGAGTCTTCCTACTCTGCCATCTTGACCAAAAAAAAAATCTATTAACAAATGTTTTTATCTTTGACAATCTGACAGGTAAAATATAGAAACTTATAAGTATATATTTTTTAACTTAAAATACATGCATATGATAAAAAAACCAATGTGAGCAGTATAAAAGGATATACAATTAAAGTTATATATTACCCCTATTCCCTAGTTCCCTTGGTTCCCTTTCCAGAGACCTCCCACTGTCAGTTTCCTGTTTATCTTCCAGGTATATTCCATGCAAATCATGCATATGCAAATATAAATGGGCGTATATGTGTGTGTGCACAAGTGTTTGGAAATTTATCTGGTCTGGTTTATTGATAAAAATGTAAGTTTATTTTTCTTTTTTCACTTAAGATACATCATATCTATACGTCCATCTCCTCTCTCTTTTTTCACAAATGGTAGCAGCTATTCACTCTGCTTTTTTCACTTAATGTATCTTTCAGATTGTGTATATCAATACATTTACAGCTGCCTTATTCTTTTGTATAGCTATATCATAATTTATTCAACCAGTGCCAGGCATTTTGGTTGTTTCCAATATCCTGTTACTACAATCTCCTACAACATACTTATTTGTATACATGTGTCAGTATATTTTTAGGATACAATCCTAGAAGTATGGTTGCTGGATCAAAGTATATAGTGGTTGATGTTATTCCCTGCCCAACATCTGTTCCATAGCTTCCCCATTGTTTAGCAGTCATAAAGTTTGAAGGGGTGGAATTGATCTTACCCAAAGCTTCTTGAGGGGGTGCACTACCCATGAAACCCAATCAGGGCAAGTCCTCCCCTCCACCACCATGCTTCAGTGATCGGTTCAGGCAACACAGGCGTCAGCCAATCAATGCATACCACGGTCTTGTCAAGGGGAACGTTTGGGAATGCACCAGTGATCCAGTTCAAGTTAATGAAATGTTAGAGAATATTTTTTGAAGTTTTGGGGGGAAGAAGGTTTTTACTGTTTTGTTTTGCTTTATTTTTGTTCTTTGCTCTTCTGAGAGAGAACAAAAGCCAGCTTTGTCTCTTCTTTTGGACAGTATGGTGTAGCTGACACGAAGACGTCAAGTGATGAAGCCTATTTGCTACCAAGAGGGGAGTCACATTTACAATGGAGCTCACACTTTAGAAGACTGAACTGACAGATGGAAGGAAATTAGGTCCTTGGTGATATTGCTGATTCACAGAATCAAACCAATTTCCAAGCCCACTCATCCCCTTGAATTTGCAGTTATTTGAACCAATAAATCCTTTTTATTGTTTAAGCCTGTTGGAGTTGGGTTTTCTGTTACTTACCAATAAAAAGGCATATGAACTTTAAACATTTTTTGATAAGTTGCCTTACAAAAGATATACCAATTTACAATCCAACAACAAAATATGAGAATGAATGTTTCTCCACAGCCTTGCCTAAACAATATATTATCAAACTTTCTGATATTGCCATTTTATAGGATAAGAGTAATATCTTAACACAATCTTTTTCTTATGAGTAAGATTAAGCTTTCTAATATACTTAAAAGTCACATATATTTCCTTTTGTGTGTGTGTGTGTGTGTGTGTGTGTGTGTGTGTGTGTGTACGGCTCATGTCCTTTGCCTAGTTGTCTATTTCTAATTCTCTTTTCTTATCAATTTGTGAAAGCTTTTTGTATCCTAAGAAAATCAGGTCTTTGTCATATGGGTTGAAATACATTTTCTAAATTTCTCCTTTAGCCTTTGATTTTCTTTTTGCATGTTTTATGGAAAAATATATATAACATAATATTTACTATTTTAGAGTGTACAGTTCATTGGCATTAATGAATTGTAAAACTTTCACCACTATTTATTTCCAGAACTTCTTCACCGTCCCAAAGAGAAACTCTGTACCCATTAAACAATACTTGTTTATTGTTCCTTCCCAACAGCCCTGGTAAACTCAATTCTACTTTCTGTCTCTATGAATTTGTCCTTTTTTGGTACCTCATATGAGTGTAATTGTCTTATTTAGCATAATGTTTTCAAGGTTCATATTTATTGTAGCATGTATCAGAATATTATTCCTTTTTATGGCTGAGTAATTTTCCATTGCATGTACATATCATATTTTATTTATCCATTCATCTGTTGATGGACACAGGTCATTTCTACCTTTTGGCTATTGTGAGTAATGCTGCTATGAACATTTGTGTACAAGTATCTGTTTGAGTCCCTGCTTTCAATTTCTTTGGGTTTATACTTAGGAGTGGAGTTTTTGTATCAAATGGTAAGTCTGAGAAACCACCCATTAAACTATTTTCCACAGCAGCTGCAAACATTTTACATTTCCATCAGCAAAGCACAAAAGTTCTAATTTCCTTTTAAAAATTATTCAGTTTATTTAAATAGATTTATTTCAATTTATTCAATTCAAAAAATTTCTTCAATTTATTTTAAACCATACAGCTCACCCATTTCTCCCACCCAATTCCCCCCACTTCTTGAAACCCCTCTTTGCCTCTTGCAACCACCAGTTTGGTCTATGTATTTATAAGCTTGTGTTTTTTAGTTGTTATTGTTTTCAAATTCCACATATAAGAGAAATTGTATAGTGTTTGTCTCTCTGTCTTACTTTGCTTAACATAATGCCCTTGAGGTCCATTCAAGTTGTTGCAAGTGGCAAGATTGCATTCTTTTTATGGCTGAATTTTATATATATATATATGTATGTATTATATATATAGTTATATATTTTTATATATATACCACAATTTATTTTTTTAATTGAAGTTTAGTTGGTTTACAATGTTGTTTTAGTTTCTGGTGTACAGCATAGTGGTTCAGTTATATCTTTTTCATATTCTTTTTCATTGTAGGTTATTACAAGATATTGAATGTAGTTCCCTGTGCTATACAATAGGACTATGTTGATTATCTATTTTATGTATGGTAGTTTGTATCTACTAATCCCAAACTCCTAATTTATCCCTTCCTTGCTTTCCCCTTTGGTAACCATAAATTTGTTTTCTATGTCTGTGAATCTCTTTCTGTTTTACAAATAAGTTCATTTATATTATTTTTTTAGATTCCATATATAAATGATATCATATGGTATTTGTCTTTCTCTGTCTGACTTACTTCACTTAGTCTGACCATCTCTAGCTCTATCCATGTTGCTGCAAATGTATGCCACAATTTCTTTATCAATTCATCCAGCAATGGACAGTTACATTTTTTCTTTATCTTATTGTAAATAATGCTGCAGTGAACATGGGAGTGTATATATCTTTTCAAATTACTGCTTTTGTTTTCTTTGGATAAATACCCAGAAATGGAGTTGCTGGATCATATGGTAGTCCTATTGTTAATTTTTTGAGGAACCTCCATACTGTTTTCCATAGTGCTTGCACCAATTTACATTCCTACCAACAGTGCACAAGAGTTCCCCTTTTCTCTACATCTCTGCCAACACTTGTTATTTCTCTCTCTCTCTCTTTTTTTTTTTTTGTAATAGCCATTTTAACAAGTGTGAGGGGATATCTCATTGGGGTTTTGATTTGTGTTTCCATGATGATTAATGATGTTGAGTATTTTTTTATGTACCTGTTAGACACCTATATGTCTTCTTTGGAAAAATGTCTGTTCAGATCTTCTGCCCATTTTTAATTAGATTGTTTCTTTTTCTGCTATTGATGTGTATTCTTTGTATATTTTAGATAGTAATCTTTTATCAGATATAAGATTTGCAATTATTTTCTCCATTTAGTAGGATGCCTTTTCATTGTTGATGGTTTCCTTTGCTGTGCACAAATTTTTTAGTTTGATGTAGTCCCACTTGTTTATTTTTGCTTTTGTTGCTTTTGTTTTGATGTCAGATTCAAAAATCATCAACAAGATCTATACCAAGGAGCTTACCACCTACATTTTCTAGATGTTTTATGGTTTCAGGTCTTATGTTCAAGTCTTTAATCCATTTTGAGTTAATTTTTATGTATGGTGTAAGATGGTGGTCCAGTTTTATTCTATTGCATGTGGATGTCCAATTTTCCCAACACCATTTACTGAAGAGACTGTCCTTTCTCCATTGTATATTCTTGACTTCTTTGTCATAAATTAATTGACTAGATTTCCAATTTCTTCACATCCTCACTAACACTTGTTATTTTCCATTTTTTTAATCATGGTCATCTTAATAAGTATGAAGTTGTATCACACTGTAATTTTGATTTGTGTTTCCCTAATGACCAATCATGTTGAAAATCTTCTCATGTGCTTATTGGCCATTTGTACATATCTTCTTTGAAGAAATATCTATTCAAGTCCTTTGCCAATCTTTGAATTGGGTTGGACTTTTTGTTTGAGTTGTGGGATTTCTTTTTATATTCTGGGTATTAATCCCTTATCAGATATATGATTTGCAAATATTTTCCTCCCATCCCATATATTGTCTTTTCACTCTCTTGATAGTATCCTTTGATGTACAAAAGATTTTAATTTTGACAAATTCCAATTTATCTATTTTGTTGTTGTTGTTGTTGTTGTTGTTGCTTGTGCTTTTGTTCAAAAGCTTGGCAATTCCCTATTGAATCTTCTGGCACCTTGCTGAAAATCAATTAACTATATATGTGAGGCTTTATTTCTGGGCTCCATATTCTATTCCATTGGTCTATGTGTTTTTCCTTATTCCAGTAACACACTGCTTTGACTACTGTAGCTTTGTAATAGTGTGTAGTTTTGAAATATGGAAGTATGGGTCCTCTAACTTTGATTGATTTTTCTATTGTTTCTTTAATCTCTATTTTATTTATTTCCTCCCTTATTAACTTTGATATGTTTTCAAGACTGTCTTGGCTATTCAGGGTCCCTTCAGATTCCATGTGAATTTTAGGATGGATTTTTCTATTTCTGCAAAAACTTTCATTGGAATTTTGATTGGTATTTCACTGAATCTGTAGATCACTTTGAGGAGTATTTTCATCATAACAATATCAAGTTTTGCCATCCATGGACAAAGGATGTCTTTCCATTTATTTATTTCTTTAATTTAGTTCAAAAATGTTTTGTGGTTTTCATTGCTAGTGTATAGAAATGCAACTGATTTTTGCGTGTTGATTTTGTGTCCTACAATTTTGCTGAATTTTCAAATTAGCTATAATAGTTTTTTTTTGCTGGAATCTTTAGGGTTTTCTACACATAAGATCATGTCATCTGTGAACAGAGATAATTTTACTTCTTTTTTTCCAAACTGGTTGCCTTTTATTTCTTTTTCTTGCTTAATTGCTGGCTAGAACTTCCACTACTGTGTTGAATAGGAGTGACAAATGTAGATATTCCTGATCTTATGGAAAAAGCTTTTCATTTTTCACCATTGTTTATGATGTTAGTTGTGGGTTTTTCATATATGCTCTTTATCATGTTGAGGAAGTTCCCTTCTTTTCCTGTTTTTTTTTTGAGTGTTTTTATTATGAAAGAGTTTTGGATTTTGTCAAATGCCTTTTCTGTGTTTACTGAGATGATCATGTGATTTTAATCCTTTATTATGTTAATGTCAGGTATCACATTAATTGATTTGTGTATGTTGAACCATCCTCGCATATCAGGGATAAATCCCACTTGGCCATTGTATATGATCCCCTTAATGTGCTGTTGAAATAAGTTTGCTAGTATTTTGTTGGGGATTTTTGCATCCATGTTCATCAGTAATGTTGGCCTGTAGTTTTCTTTTCTTGTGGTGTCTTTATCTGGCTTTGCTATCAGGGTGATGCTGGCCTCACAGAGTGAGTTACAAACTGTTTCCTCCTCTTCAAGTTTTTGGAAATGTCTGAGGAAGACTGGTGTCAATTCTTCTTTAAATGTTTGATTGAATTCACCAGTGAAGCTGTTTGGTCCTGAGCTCTTCTTTGTTGGGAAGTATTCAATTACTGATTAAATCTCCTTACTAATTAAAGTTCTTTTCAGATTTTTTATTTCTTCATGGGCCAATTTTAGTAGATCGTCTATGAAAGGAACATACTCATTTTCTCTATCCATAGAATGTATCTGTATCCAAATGTGTGGGTGTTTTTCCCACACCAAGCAATTCTCCATATCTCAGAAGACATCAACTGGGTGTTCCACAATTTAACTAAATTCTGACACTACCTACCTGAAATAGCATCAGACTTCACATGTTAAGGGCTCAGTTCCACAAGTGTGCCCCACTTCAGATGAAAATTACAAGTCCAGGTTGTCATTTGTGCTTCTGATTGAGCAGCTACATATCAGAGGTTTCCACAAACCCTTCTTGGGTTTGATAACTTACTAGA